TGAAGTTCTTCCTATACCTCAGGAAGTTTTAGACCGACTTAAAAAACCTAAACAACCAGTTGAAAACAAACCAAACTAAATTTTTTTACTGAGATGAAATGAACAATGCAGCTTTAAACAGAATAAGTCATGGAAGACCACCTTTTACACCACGTGTTTGTAAAGTTCTTCCTATACCTCAGGAAGTTTTAGACCGACTTAAAAAACCTAAACAACCAGTTGAAAACAAACCAAACTAAATTTTTTTACTGAGATGAAATGACCGAAGAAGTTGAAACGGTAGATTTGACACCACAAACAAAAAGTTCAGAACCATTGTCAAAACCTGTCATAGAACTTACAGATGAAGAGAAAAATTCAATAATAGAAAGTGCCAGGTCTGGAAATACAAACCCTAACTATAAAGTCACTTTTCATAGAAATGGAACGGCTAGTATCTCAAAAAAGAAACAGACTCTCACAAATAAAATATTGAAGTCTGAAGGAGCTTTCGAGACAACAGATGGAAAAGTTTACTTCACTGACCAACAGTTCATTATAGAACATCTCATTGACTTAGAGTCGAAATATTCTAAACTTTACAACAAACACAAAAAGTTGAAAGGAAAACAAAAACAAATGACATATGATATTTATGAAGATGTTGACGACACAACTGTTCCTGCAAGTGAAGTAAAGTCAGAGGAACCAAAAAGTGACGAAAAACCGATAGAAGAAGAAAAACCAAAAACTGAAGATAAACCAAAACCAAAGTTTAGTTTCCAAACTAAACCAAGTCAACCTTCATTAGCTGGTATGGGTTGGCGTCAAAGACTTATGGCAGCAGGCGGTTATGTAAAGTAAAGAAAAAAAATATTTTTTTATTTTTATAAAAATGCCCCCATATAGAATGGATAGAAAGTCTGCTAGAATAAAAGCAGAGTTGCAAAGATATGGTTGGAGAGTTTCGAAGAATTTTAAATATAGGAAGGGAAGACCCATAAAAGTCTATGACAAATTGTCTGGTCTTGGCTACGAAATGGATTTGGAAACAGCACGTGCCAATTATCCAAACAGACTAGAGAGGTTAGAAGAAGAACGTCTTATGGACATGCCTTTCGATGTTAGTGAACCTCAAGTTGAAGGACACGACGGCTTTGCCAGATTCTACTGGAAACATGACGAACAATTGCATCCTTTGAGAAGGAAAAAAGGAAAAGGTGAAGACACACATGCTCCCATGGAAAGAACAAGATATGCATATGAAAAGTATCGTGAAGTTAGAAGTCAAATTACATCTGGTCGAACCTTTACAGTAAACTTTGACGAAGGAAAGAACAAAGAAGGCTTCATGGGAGTACTTGCTGCAATTCAAGACGGAAATAAGAAAGGACACAATCTCAGATTGACCATAACAGATTTGGATGGTCACATTTACTATGCACATGGCAATGAACAAACAGCCGCAAAACTTCTTGACGCTTTCAAGACTACAAAGAGAGAACAAATGGTTGACTCCGACTCAGACATTTTGAATGCAATTGAAGGAATTGCAAGTGTCAAGTTCGAATGGTACCAACCTAACCCTCAAGCAGTCAGACAACATGCTGGATACTTCCCGTTCATAATATTTATTATAAATTAAAATATTATTACTCATTAATTTGTTGAAATATTGCATTTTAGTGGTAAAAATTAAAATTTAAGTTTACATGGAGAAAAAAAAATTTTTAAATTCCAAAAAAAAATTCAATTGGGATAACGATAGGGACAAAAATTTAGAATCCCCATATGCTTGGGATAAAATCACATGACTACTGACATTGACTTGACAAGGTATGGAATTTACAATTCAATTGAAACAATTGTCAATGAACCTTGTATTCTTACATGTCTCAGGAACTATGGTCTTGTTACAGATGAGAAGATGAAGTATCTTGAGTCATGTGTGAAGACAAGGTACATTCTCAGAGGTCAATTGGCAAAAATTGCACCGTTGGCAAATGTCAATATCCGAGTCAACATACCTACAGCTAAAGGTTCTTCACATGACGACTATGTTGTTGACAAAGACTTACCATGGTTGAAGATTGTAATTGTCCACAACCACTTCATGTTGAACGAAAGTCTTACAAACCCATTCTTTGGTAAAAGTAAGTGCAACATTGTCAGAGCTGTAAACATTCTTTTCGAGAAAGGTTTGTTGGAACCAATTCCAGATGACAAGCTGACAGAAACTTTTGTACCAAAAGACGAAACAAACTTTTCATTGTTAGCAAGACCAAAAGTTGTTCCAGACAAAGTTCTAGTACAAAAGAAGTACACAGTTCCACAAGGGGTTGGTATGTTCGGATACCAACCTGAACCAGAAGAACTTCCAATGAGGTTGCAAGAACTTCAATATGCTATAAACAAACTTCCATTGAGACATCCAATTGACGTCAAATTGTATTGGAGAGCATCTGAGTTAGGTCAGAAGGTTTTATATGAAACAGGTTGCTTCGACGATGTTTATGAGATAACAGGAGAAGTTTCTCAGAAGATAAGAGACTCACTTGAATTTCCACAAACTGGACCAATTGGTTGCGACAAGTTCGACTCAGATGAAAAGATATACTATGTCGACCTTAACGCTGCATACATGAGGTTTGTCCAATATATTCCGACTGGAATTCCAAACGAAGATGGTGAGTTCCCGGGAAGGAACTATACAGTTGGAAAAGTCATACAACAACTGTATGATATTAGGAAAGCTTCAAACCCCAAACTTGCAATGACACTCAAATTGCTTATGAATTCGACATGGGGATATTCCATTAAGAAACCTCAAGAGATGAAGAGTAAACATTATGAGAAGGTCGACAACTTTGTTGAAAGGTTTTCTCCTTTTGTTTTGAAGTACGAATTCACTCAAGGTCAAAGTGGCTTAGTAACCACATTAAAACCTATTGTCGAACATTGGTCTTACCCTCAGTTCGCAAAGGCAGTCCTTGACAACTACAACAAATTCTTCTCCGAAGTCAAATCCAAAGTGAAGGTTTACTATGAGAACATTGACGCACTCATGACGAACGAAGAAGGATACAACAAACTCATTGAAATGGGAATGGTCGGTGAAAAGATGGGCTGTTTTAAGCTAGATAAGGTATTTTCCGAAGTTCATGTAATATCGAAAAGGAAATATTGGGGCATACTTGAAGACGGCACAGAAATAAAACATTGCATGAAATAAAAAATTCATTTTTTAAAAAGTGACATTTTTTAAATTTTATTTGAAATGTACGCTGAGTTTGTTGGAGAAGACCGTTGGGAAACTTGTTTGTTAGATGAGAAATATGAAATGGCATACCATTTTAAAACAATATATTTTTACATATATTAAATGCTTCAGGTTGAAAAACAAAGAACAAAAGTAGCAGATACAAAACCGTTAGACTATATCTTTACAAATGCTGGTAGGACTATTTCAGATGGAGAAATTTCATCCCGAGCATACATGTTTGACTATCCAATTCGTTGGCTTCAAAGTCCTTCAGATGCAAAGGCAATAGGATTTAGAAGAGTTTTGTTTTCAAATAGAACTAACGCATTTATGTTCGCAGTATATTTTCATGGGCAGTATGAAGGTTCTGATGGTCTAATAGACAAATTTGACGAAATGAGAATCTTTACAGTTCGTTCAGACGAAAGTCTTGAGAAAACTCTAGATGACTTTCAAACTCAAATGAACAAATATTATTGGGAATTTCAAAAAAAATACGACTCTTTACTAAATGGAACATACTATCTGAAACTAGAATATGACAAGATGAACTCCACCGTTTCATTTCAAAAGATTGAAATTAACCCTCCAAGAGATACAGAGTTTTTATTTTGGGAAGTAGACAAACGTTCTTGGGCACAATTTCTTCGGTTACTAAACCAGAACGAACCATTACCACCAGATGGTCCATTTAAATTTATACTTCCACCAGCAGATTTGATGGTTTATAGAAACGTGTTTGACCCTCAAAATGTTATGTGTCATGCAAGTTTCAGTTCAAGCAACAATAGTTTTCTATGTATTGGTAAGGACCTTTATGACTTTGCTTCTAAATTCTACGAACCACCTAGTAACAGTTTCTCTGACTTTCAAGTTTGGTTCACAACAAATGGTGTGCAACATATTATTCCAATGTACTATGACTTTTATCTCGAATTGTCTTTCATATATAACTACGGAAAAGTGCTGAAAAAGTATTGAATGTGAAGATATTAGAAAATAACATTTTTTCTAACATCGTAGAAAACTCATGAAAACAATTTATTTTTGACAATTTCACAAAAAACATAAAAAAAGTGAGTTAAAATGAGATGTTTACTGAACTGGCTGAATGTCGCCTTCACAGGTTATGTAGAACGGCTGACCAGAGAAGTGAAGGAGAGACTGAATTGCCAATTTCATATGGGGTAGGGGGTTCTCCTTGTTTGGTATTTTTATCCAAGGACGTTTGTTTAGGAACTTAACAAGAGCTTCTCTTTTGGCGTCCTTTATGCCATCGTAGGCTGTCCCGTCTGGTATTTGAATTGGAATTCCAGTCGAAGTCTCGAGCTGAAGTGTAGACCTTCCAGAAATAGTGGTAAACTTGACCTTGGGCTTCATGACCTTGCGCAAGTAGTCTTTTACGCAGTCGTTAAGTTCAATGAGGTAAATTGCCTCGTCAAGTCTTTCTTGCATTCCAAGTTCTTCCATCCGACAGGAAAATATTTTCCGGACAAAGGGAAAAATTTTTCCTTCCGACAGGAAGAACTCTTCCATCCGACAGGAAAAAATTTTCCGGACAAAGGGAAAAATTTTTCCTTCCGACAGGAAGAACTCTTCCAGTTGTCCGTCCGTAAACCATTCAAATTTTCGAAAATTGAGAACTTTTTGGTCGAACTTTAGAAAAAATTTTCCTTCCGACAGAAAAAATTTTCCTTCCGACAGGAAAAGTTTTTCCTTCCGACAGGAAAAGTTCTTCCTTCCGACATGACACAAACGAATGTCCGACGTCCCACCAACCGAGTCCATTCCCAAACCAGAGGAACCTAAAGAACCACAACAGTCTCCTCAGCAACCTCAGTTCCAGCAAGTACCTCCGAATTACTACCAATTTCCACCTCAAGGTTACTACCCACCACAAGGCTTCCCGAACTACCCTCCTCAGCCTATGCCTTACTTCCCCAACCCTTGGTTGTTCCAGCAAGCTCCACCCCAGCAATTCCAATTCCAATCTCAGTCCAAGAGAGACCAAGACTTCGAAGAAGGTCTGAACCGCTTACGCAAAGAGTATGCTACAGCTCCAATTGAGAGAAAGTTGTTCCCGGACCAAAAAATATAATTTAGGTGAAGAGGTGAGATTTCACCTCTTTTTTTCACCCTCTTGAATTTTCATGAATTTTATATATTAATGTTTTCGTTAAGCCACTTTGTGCTGTCAGTCAGTCAGTCAGTTTAGGAAAGACTTTAGAAAGTTGTTGGAAAATAAGTCCTGGGAAGAGTATTATAAAGCATTTTGTGAAGAATATAGCAACCGCCGGAATTCGGACTGTTGCTTTTTATACAAAATTCATGCAGGAAATTCTTGAGTTTTGGTTGAAAGAATACGGTGGAGCCAAAAGTGGCTCGACCTCAAAACAAGCATTTTATGAGCTTACTAAGGGCGTTATAAATGAATTCAAAGGTATTTACATACATCCTGACCTCGTTCATTTTGTTGCTGAATTCAGCAAAAATAATTTTTAGGGTAGATGGTTAGATCTAACCTCATTTCTACCCTCATTTCTACCCTCTTGAATTTTCATGAATTTCCTTAAGATAGAAAAAATAAAGTTAGTTTTATTTTTATTTATTTTTTTATTTTGTATGTAAGATATGATTTCAACAATCGGCACAACAACAATTCAAACAACAGCACCAAACTCGTTAGTCATGAATCCAACATCTATGTTAGTAGAAATGAAAAGCTTCATTCCTTCTTCATTTACTTTCGAAACAGAAATACAAAGAATAAAGCAGGAACTTTTAACAAGTAATTTAGACTGTAGTGCGAAAGATGAAACAAATGAACAGTATCTTTATGAAATGGAGGACCTCATCGACCATTTGCCTAAACTACCTGAAATTCAGCAGCAAAAACTAACTATTCCTGAATTCGACGAAATTGAAGTCAAAGCAACTGACTCAGTAGAAATAAAGAAGTTCATACGAAAGGTAAATTATGAGTTTCTAGGATATCATTGCAACCATAAAGTTATGGACAAAGATTGCGACATGGTATATAAGAACATCTCTGACATATATAAATCTGGGGAGTTTAAGACATACGACAACTTTGTTTCATTAGCTGCAAAATGTGTATGGCAGATAAGAGATAAAGATAGAAGAGGTAAGGTATGGAATGAACAGATAAAACCAACTGCTTCAGATTTAAAGAAAACCATTGACGCCTTGGTTGTTTTAGCAGGTAAGGTTTCAGAATATAACGCAAAAATGAACCCGCAATGTTCTAAATGTAAAGCAGCAATTAGGAAATATAACTACTCCGTCAAAGAGATAGAACGTATGCGAAACGACTATGCTGACTTAAAGAAAGAAGCAGAAAAGCCAGCAGAAAATAAAATGGACATGTTAGAATTTCTGAACAAAAACTATCCAACTGCTGACGATTTCCTTCTATCTGATGTCAAGAAGAAGTATAAAGAAACCTTCGGCATTGTTAAAACATTCGATGTACTAAAAGAAGAAATAGAAGCTACAAAACTGTTTAGGATTTCAAATATACATCGTACAATTCATGTAAAACGCTTATAAAATAACTGGGGTGAAAAATTAGGTGAAAAAAGAGGTGAAATCTCACCTCTTCACCTAAAATATATTTTTATTGAATTCAGCAACAAAATTCTGAGTAAAATAATTTTTAGGGCATGTGTCAAACCGTTGAGTTTTCACAAAATTTAAAAAATAACGTTTACCATGTGAAACGTTTATAAAATAACTGGGGTAGAAATGAGGTGAAAAAAGAGGTGAAATCTCACCTCTTCACCTAAATTATATTTTTATTGAATTCAGCACAAAAATCATGAATTTCCTTAAGATAGAAAAAATAAAGTTAGTTTTATTTTTATTTATTTTTTTATTTTGTATGTAAAGACAGTAATGTCAACAACAGAGAACACAACAACAGTTATAGTCCATGAAGCTATAAATGAAGAATACGAGTACATACAGTTTAACAAACAGTTACGTCTCATTCGTTCGGTCAAAGACGATATGTACCAAATGCAAAGTATTTTGACAGCATGTTTTGCACCCGACAATAAGAAACCACAAGACTGGTTTAGGAACCAAAGCACTATTGAACTATTAAATGAAGCTGAAAATTCGACTACGAGAATCCCGTAGTCGCAAAAACTCGAGTGGGAGAAAAACCCCAGTCGCCAAAACTCTATGAAAATCGTGAAAAATTGCCAAACGGTTTGAGAGGATATTATGTACATAGACTTCTTGTAAATGCTGTTGCAATGTGGGCTTCAGCTCGTTATGCTTGGTATATTTACAGACTTCTTGACGAAATTCATAGACAAGAACGTGAAGAGATGGAAAACAAGCTTGAAGCAAAAGACAAAAGCATTCAGAAAAGAATACCACGTTCGGTACCAAAAGGAAAGGAAAAGAACTATAAGTATATGATTTATACTGAAGAGATGGAAAATGAAGAAGACAGAGATATGGTTATGTTGCATTTAGTCAGAAGAAACAACAAAAGCTTTTACGACCTTGCTAAGATTTACAAATCTGACAGAAATTGGTTCTATCGCGAAAACTTACCGATTTCAATGACCCCAAATGAAGATGTGAAACAAATAGTTCAAGATACGTTACCTCAAACACACTATGATATGAAAGGTTGTACAATACTTACATTCAAAGAAGATTTGTCATTGTTAAAGGAAAAAATAACAGAGTATTTTGACAACTTCAAACAAGTAGGGTAGATGAACCATTTATTTTTATTGACTTTTTACAATTTGAACTTTGTTTGCGTAGATATGAATTCTGAAAGAAGTATGAGGGTCTTGTATGACTTTGTACTTCTCCATAGTTCATGTCTGTCAAACTTACCTGCCATGGACTCTTTCATAAGTTCCATGAAATCGTCTTCGGACAATCCGGGGAAAAGTATTATGTCAGTAAGTATTCTTTTAACATCCTTACTTAAACTCTTTGCTGTCTGTACACAAATGACAACTGAGATGTTAAAGTGTCTGAGCTTCTTAAGAATTCGACACATATCTTGTTCTCTGTTCTTTAACAAAGGATGAGATGCAAAGTCGTCTAAGATAAGAAGACACCTATGAGGGTAAGTCTTCCAATCGTAAGATTGCAATTTCTTCGAAATGTATTCTATCTCTTTCTGTTTGTTTCTGAAGTGTTTCTTCTCTAATATTCTCTGCATTTTCCTCATTTGGGTCTTTAAACTTAGAATTTATATACTCATTTATAGCATTATACTTCAAAACTCTTCTTTGGTACTTCTTTATCCAACTAACAACTCAGTATCCTTTATACATACTAACTTAGACTTCTTTATAATACTTTGAACGAATTGACGGTTTGGTCAAATTGACCAGAAGTACTACAAATGACTACTAACTCATAGAATGGGTTCTTCTCATCTAGTTCTTGTTGTTGTGCAGCCATTTTAAGATAAGTGAAAGTCTTACCAGACCCAGGTGGTGCAATTAGACCTGTTATACCATTCTGAGCAAATAAGAACTTGTCATGTATAGGCTTTATCTGAGCATTTTCTAACTTCCTCTTGTTCTTATTTAAAACATTCTCAAATTTCTTGTCAATGTCAGCAAACTTTTTTTCTAACATATTTTTAGAAAAATTAAAATTTTTATCTTTTAGAAAATGTCTAGCGATTTCGCTATCTATATTCGAGACAAGCTTTTCGACAGCAAAACATCTGTAGACCATAAAATCTTACATAGTGTAAACAAGAAAGGTGAATTTGTTCTAAAAGTTCTGTTTCTGGGAATATGACAAGAACCATAAAACATTACAAAGAGCAGTCTTAAAATTTGTCAATGACAGACTTGTTGACAGAGATGACGCCGATTGGAAAGATGAAGTCAACAAAGTTCTTAGAATGCAAAGAAGACACATGCGCTGTTCTTGAAGATGAAATAGAAAACAGAATAGATGAGCTATTAAAGGACAAAGAACTTTTACATAGATATGGTTCTGAGAAATTTGACATATCTCCACCAGGAGAAGAAGAGAGAAAAGAAAGAAAAGAAAGTAGAAGAAGAGAAGAAAGAACCTGAACCAGTTCCAAGAGAAGAAAATTTGACATGTAAAAATAAAATTTTTATTTTTAGAACATTTCTGGGTCAATGTCAATGTTCTCTTCCTCTTTAGGAGTAAACACTGGCTTAGACTCTAAAATCTTTTTACCCAATTTACCTTGAACTTCTACAACTTTAGACTCATAATATTCATAGTCGTCTGTCTTCTTTGGTTCATAAGGTATAACAAGTTTGTATGCTTTGCCTTCTTTAAGTTTTGAGAACCTTCTGTCAAAACTTTCTTTGACTGTTAACAAACCTTCTATGTCTAAGTCTTCAAATTTTGCACCATTTTTAGTCACAATAGCAAACTTAACTGGTTCGATGTTCCAAACTTTGCTGAATGAAGACTTTTCAAAATGGTAGAAGTAAACATTCAAATATGTGAATGGGTCTAGTTCTTCTTTAAGTCCTGACATTTACTTGTTTACTGAGATGAATTTCGTCATCTTTTCTATCGGATAAAAAATATTTTTTTTTAAATTTACTCAGAAAAATTTTTCTTTGTATATACACCATTCTGAACATCTAAAAGACTTTTGACATTTGCCAAGAATGTTCGTTTAGAAGCTGCCATATAACCATATTCTTGACAATATTGTTTATACAAATCATATAAAGACCTTTCATCTAATGACACAAAGTCGCTTTCTTCTATGAACAGTTCATATACACTCTTGTTTGCTTCTAACAATGTTTGTCTCTCTTCTGTATGTGGAATTTGTCTTGGATTGAACTTAGAAATATCTAATGTCATAAAATATGAGAACAAGTGGTTGTAAAAGTCAGATGTCAAAGTTTCTGCTAAGTCGTCAAAATATTCTGTATCTTGCATATGAGCTTCTGACGTTCTGACAACTACATATCTTCTGTCAGAACTTTCTAACTTCATCGGAACAGCATTGTTTGAAACCATAATGAAGTTTGCAACATTTTCACAAACTCTTTGGTCTTTATACTTTCTTTCAACAACTCCAACTTTGTCTGTTATAAGACTCTTCAAAGCATCTGAGTTCAAAACTTTTGTTGTATCTATACTTTGAAGTTCATTGCAAACTATAAGTTTCATATTCTCTATTGAGGAGTTAAACTTACCACAGATGTTTTCTAAGTTTGTCATATTCGGATTCGAATAACCTTCTAACAGTTTGCACAAAATATCTGTAAAGAAAGTATTCTTACCTGTTCCTTGTTTTCCAATTATAATGAGAGCAGTTTCATTTTTAGCACTTGGATGTTGTAAGATGTTTGCAAACCAACATAAGATATACTCATAAACCTTTTCGTTTCCATTGCATATAATTTCTTTGACATGGTCTAACCAAGCTTCTATAATATTTTCTTTCCATTCTACTTGTTCATATTTATATCCAGTGAAGATAGAATAGAAGTTTGGAGAAGGTGTATAAAACTTTATACCACGAACTGAAAAATCTTCTAACTTTGACAATAAGATATCCCAAGCATCTAACATCTTCATGCCAACTTGTACGACTTTTATTTTCTTAAGTTTCTGTCTACATTCTTGTTCAGACACTATTGTTGCTCTTGGTTTGTTAAAGACAACATCCCATTCTTTCATGACATAACATTCTGGGGCAGAGTCAACATAAATGACTAAACGTTTCAAATTCTCGACTGCTTTGTTATAGTCTCTAAATGGACACATATTTCTGAATGCTTGGAAGTCATAAAAATCTGAAACATCTATTCTGTACATTTTTATAAAAATAAAAAAAATATTATTTTTTTATTCTTGACTTTGTTGTTGCATTTGTTGTTCTTGAGCTATTTGTTGTTGAAGTTGTTCTTGTAATACAATACTTTCACCAGTTGCATCTTCCAATTCGAAACTTTCTGCCGTCATTGACAAATACATAGGACATAAAAGTTTTACAGGAACAAAGTTTGCGTCAACTAATGTCAACGTTATACTTGCCAAAGTGTTTGAGTTCACTAAGGTTGAAAATTCTGCATTTGAATGAACAATAGGCAAACCAGCAGAGAAAGTATTGTTTATACGCATAAGTATCTTTTGGTCATAATAGTTTCTGTCGACATTCGAATAACACTTTGAACCTAAGTTTGAAACAATATATAAGATTGGTGTGCTTAATGTCAATGGAATAGACATTCCTTGTATGACACCTTTTCCTGTTATAGGAAACTGTTGGTAGTAAAAACCAGAAATAAGTTTTGTATTATAGCCCATATCGTTTATAGTAAACTCAGTCGGACATCCAAACATAATGAAACCTGCTCTAGTTGCAGCACATGTTACACCCATACTTAAAGTATTAAATAAGTCAACAAAACCTGTTGGTGGTATATCTGAGTAAGTATCTTCAAAGGAGTATTTTTTACCATTCACAACAATAAAGTCTTCTGGTGTCAAAAGAGCAAAACAGGCTTTAGTCGTCATTGTGTTTAAGGTTAGTTTACAATATCGTCCTTGAGGACTTTGTAAGTTTGTTGTTATAGAATTATATGACTCAGGGTTTTTAGTCGTAATAGTATAAACCATTATGTCTTCTGCCATTTACTTAGCAAATAAATTTTAATGAAATGTTTGGTCGTCAAATATTTTTATAACGTCTGGGAAACTATATTTTAAGTTCAACGTTTCACCTCCTTTCATAACGTATATCTTGTCAATGGCATTATATGAAACACCACAGCAACTAATGTCGGGTTCTATTTCTTTGATGTTTATATCGTCTGCCTCTGTCAAAAGTTTCAATAGTTCTTTCAAAACTTCATGAGGTGCAATGACATATGAGTTCACTTTTACAGGGTTGTGTTCGACCAAGTTTAACATTATACTTAAAGCTTGACAAATTCTTCTCCTGAGTTTGAAGTTTGTCTTTCAGTTGTTGGTAGTCGTTTCGAATATCTGCAACAGAACTTAAGTCTCTGCTAACTTCAGGATATGTTGGTTCTTTTACAGGAACAATTGTTATACCATCTTCGTCTTCGTATGGTTTCCCCACTTCAACATCTCTGTCTTTGACATTGACAACAACACTTTGACTGTTTGTTTGAGTTGGTGAATTTAACTTCACATCTGCCACCGCCATTAAACCTTTTGAAACACTTACGCTTCTATTTTTCGGAAATGACATTTTACTTAGAATAAAAAGATGGACGTATTCGGATATCTTATTGAATTGAAGCAGAACAAAGTTTATACTCACAAACAATACAAATACATTGACAGAATAGTTCTTTACACAAACAATGGAAAATGTTATAGAATAGCAGTCTTTGCTGAACCTAAATATTTTCATAAAGCAAAGAAAGTTGGTATAACTGAAATGGTGAAAGTTCTTGAAGCAGACAAAAATATAACTTCAAAACTTACAGATATTACTAAAGGAAAGTTTATAATACAATATTATGTCAAAACTGGCGTACTGTCAATATTTGACGGAGAGAAGTCAGTTCAAGAACAACTTACTGACCTGCTGCCAAAATCTGCTCGATGGAAGCTGTCGTTATGCCAATCTGAGGAGCCCCAGCAGGTTTTCATCGAACGAATCTTCAAAGAGCATCTTCCGTGAAAAGTGCTATTGGTTTTGTAAACTTCTTTGCTCTCAATTCATCTGGACCGTCTCTGTCACCAGTATATTGTTTTGTACAGTAACCAACAGTTGAAATACCACCCATAAAGTCTTCTGAGTCAGCAAATGGAATGCCAAGCCAAAAGTTTGAACGGTCTCCATTTGTATATTGAGTTTTTTGACCTCCTGTATGAGTCCATACTTTCACATATGGCATAATAGAACTTTGCATTTCAGGGTTAATGGTTGTTGTGAAGTTGTTGTTAAAGTTCATAGCATCTAATGTCAAGTTGTATGACCTCATATCCTCAACTGTAGAATATTCTTCTCTTGGATAATATTTGCCATCTATGTTTATATGATATTTAATACCAGGGTTGTAGAAACAAGAATAGTCATTTATAGTTCGTCTGAACAGTACAAACATAGTATCTGCATGTTTCATTGCAGTTGTTAAAGCAATATCTGTTCTTGCACCTGCGGCTCCTGGATTTTGGTTTCCAACTTCACCTGCAAAGTCTTTGACAGATATTTGGTGTATAGGGAACATAAGTGGAACTGCAATATATTTGGCAGCTAAAGCATTTGAAATATCTGGGTCCAACATATAAACGGCAAGTCTGCTTTCTATTCTCTTGCATTCAAACTGTTCGCATGTGAACTTAACTGGGTCCCAAGCATCTCCAGCAGCATTGAAATAATAGTTTACTTCAGTGTTGAGGTTTGAGAAACCAAAGTCTAAGTCAACTTTGTCTTTGCAAAAGTCACAGAACTTGGCTCCACCAGTTCCAGCTACAGTAATGCTGAATGGGTCTTGTGTTGGTGCAATGACTAAGTTATTTTTGCTTGGAGTAAGTTCGATAGAAATTTTTCCTGCCCAGTTTGGCAAGTATCTTAAAAACCTGAAGATGAGGAAAGATGACAAAGGAACTCTAAGTTTCAGTTTTACTTTGGTTACTGCTGCTGCAGTTTGTCCAGAAAGGTTAACATAAACTCCTGGAACGTTAGGGTCAAGTCTTCTTATTTTCTCAATAGTTGCATACTGGTCTGTTTGTTCTCTAGCTTGTGGTTGTACTGAGTTTCTCAAAGCGAACCATTCATAGTTTGCCCATGTTACTGTTTGAACTAAGTCAGAGTTAGAATATATCTTATATCCCATGAAAACTTCTGGAGCATATTTGGTATCCGACATAGAAAATTCCATTGCAACCTTTCTTGTCAGACAACTTGGCAGAAGGTTTTATTTCAATGTCTTGTTCCACGTATAAGAATGAGTTGTCAATAGAAATAATATGAAACCTGTCGCAAGCAATATCTACTGTTGTTGAAGAACCTTCTCCAAACTCACCTACGTTTCCATAAGAAACAGCAGTTGTATATTCGTAAGTTCCAGGAACTATTTCTGACCTTCTAATGGCATTGTCGCATTCGTTGTACCATTCGGAAACATTTCCGTTCATGGCATCCAAAACTGTTGGCGTTATATTCTGAGCGGCGTACATTTCATATGGGTAAAAATATAGAATAGTTGGATTTATATATCATAATAGAACCCACTCGGACCAAGCTTTACTTTCTTCCTGACTGAGTTTTTAACTCTTCTTTTTCCTTCATTGCCACTACTTTCACTAGATGAAGTTACTTCTTCACTACTTTCACTTTGTTCTACTCTTCTCTTCTTCTTTGGTGTCGCTTTTGGTAACTTGCCCTCTGCTTCAAGTTGTTGCATCTTTGCCTCATGTTCACCTAGTATGTTGTAAATTTCCCATGTCCTTTTTGCCTTTGGGCTCTGGTCGCCCATCTCAGGTAACCTATATCCTAGAAAGATTTTGTCATAGTTTGTATTTGAGTCTTCGCGTATTGTTTGCATGACTCTTTCCTGAGTTTCCGGTTCAAGCTCTTCAAACAGAGCTTGTCCATATGGAATAAGCTCGTTTCCAAATATATGTTTTTGTAGCCATTCTGGTTTTCTTTCCATGTAACCAATAATATCTTTTGTGAATGGGAAAGCTTTTACCCAACGTTTCAGTCTTGCGTCATTTATTTCTGTAGTTGGTTTTATTTTGTCATGGAACATGTTTTTCAATACTAACATTTCATTTGGTACTGTCCATTTGAGTTTTCTTAAATATTCATCCCTTCTCAGTTCATTGTCTGCAAAGTAAGTTTTTATGACATTTTGCAAACTTTCGTTTGCAAGGTCATGTACAATAGGTTCTCTTCCTTCTCTCTCCCTAACTTTCATTCTAAACTCTTCACCAAATATACCATCTCTATGGTTCTGTGTAGTTCTTTGAGATAAATGTTCTAGAACGTCAGGTGTTATATTTCCCTCAGCCATGTTCATTTCATACTGGTCCAAAATATCTGCATCTTTCATATCTTTCAATGGCATTAAAGCCGCGCTGAAAATACCAGCTATATCTGGTTCACCATTCACTTCCATTGCGTCTACAACTTCTTGGAATTGAGGTTGTAAGTGTATGAACCACCTATCTGGATTAGCTTTATGACCCCATCTCATTGTAGTTCCATAGTCTGCAGAAACAAAAGTAGGTTTGTTTCCATATTGGTTAGGTTCTGAATGAACTTTAAACAATGTTTCATTTCTATATGTTTTGTTGAAATTTAACCTTTTATTTTCACCGAGTTCAGCCAAAGATTGAACGTTATATGGTCGTAAGTAAAAAGGATTATTGTATTTGCGTACATTTTCTTTCAGTACTTCCATTCTATGCTGAATATTTTCATCTGATGTTGGAGTCTTTTGTATGTCGGTGAACATTTTTCGATATTCTTCTACTATGTCAGCCGAATTTTTCTTAGACTCTTGGAAAGATTCCATATTCACCTCATACTCTTGTTGAGGGTCAAGATTTTTCGGCTGTTCCAAATCTTCATCTAGTTCTGTGAAGTTAGTTTCCAAAGGAGGGACTTGTTCGTTTCCTTCAGGCTCTTCTAGCTGTTGTTGCTGAACTATTTCTTCCATGTCTGGTTGTATCTGAACTTCTTCCTGTTGAGTTTCTTGTACCTCATCTGGTGGCATTTCATATATTCCGAGACCGTTTTTAACAAGTTCCCTATCTAAGTCATCCGGACTCATAAACCTTTCTTCTTTCGTTCCGTCTCTATTTTTTACGCGTTTCATGAAGAGAGTTGAATTATCATTTAGCTCTGACATCAAATATCTCGGAGTAAATTCATTCATGTCATTTGGATGATATGCTATTAAATCATATCCCTTAGCGAGCTTGTATTTTCCAGGTTTGAGATTATATCCGATTTGATGCTGAGCCATAAAGCTAAATAGGTTCGGGTCAGTATTTCCTTCCTTGAACTTTCTAATAGCTTCTTTATATCTGTCACTAAAGTCAAGAGTATCTGGGTAACCATAATCTTCCTTAAGCATTTTTAAGAATTCTTGGTTTCCTTTTTCTCTACTTCTTTTATGTCCTTGCTCTGTTTGTGGTTGTTGTTGTGCAGGGTTTTGAACTGTTGGTTGCTGTGCTGGATTTTGAACTGTTGGTTGCTGTGCTGGATTTTGAACTGTTGGTTGCTGTGCAGGGTTTTGAACTGTTGGTTGCTGTGCTGGTTTTGGTGCATGCCTGTGTCTGTGTCCATGTGACGATGTAAATGTTTTAGGTAGTCCTGGTGCAGGTGCTTCTCTTGGAGGGTTTGGTGGTATATAAGTTCCACCAGCTGGCACATATGTTCCATCTGCAGCATAATGTCCTACCTGACTTTTCGTTTTTAAGAAAGCATTTACTAGGTCTGTTTTGGTCTGTTGTAACTCTTTTTCTTGACTTTCCACAACAGTTGCTCTAACGGCGTCATAGGCACTTTGAACTGCCTGTCTCGTTGCTGCATCTGTTATTTTTGTCATATTTTGTGCTACTTCTCTTAACTCTTTGTCGAAACCTTCAGACTTCAGTTTCTTTCCAGATGAGAAGTCGTTCACTAGTTTCACCTTACTATGAAGAGCTTCGAAGGCATTCTTAAAGTCAGCATTCATTAAAGCTTCATTTGAACTGTCTTCATCCGCTTGTATTTTTGTCCTTATTGACCCTATAAGTTGGGCTGCTTTAGCGTTGGCTTGGGCATCTAACCAGTCATTATTAGCTTTTATATATTCTGCGCTTTTCATTGCCTTTTGCATGGCTGCGTCGTTATTTTTACTTTCTTGTGCTAAGTTTTCATACTGTACGGTTTGGTTTTGCAACTGTAAAAGTTTTTCTGCCTTTACATTTGCTTCAACTTCTTTTTTATACTCATCGCTATCCATATATGTCTTCATGGCTTTTTGTTTTATCTCTTCATCTTTCAGTACTTTATATTGAGTAGTATGGTTTTTCAAATTTATAACATCTTGTTCCATTTTTGCTACTTCTGCTGCTTTTTCTGACACTTTTTTCGCATATTCCTCTGTACTTAGTTCTTTCAGTTGTTCTTCTTTCTTCTTTTTCTCTACGTTTAACTCATTAAGTTTCTTTGTGTGTCTGTCATATTCTAGTTTCTTTTCGTTTTCACTTATTTGTTTCTGTATGTCTATGTTTGACTTTTTGACATCTGTTATTTGATTTTTGAGTGAACTTAAATTCATTTGACTTTGAGGGTTATAAGCTGTTCCGTCTGCAGCTCCACCATAGCCTGCCATTTTCGCTAAAAGTGCCGCTCTTAAACCTCCACTCTGTGCACCAATAACTCGGTTTAAAAGCATAGGGTTGCTTGACATTTGTTGCAACATAGTGGGGTCATTCATCATTTGTTGTTGCAACTGTTGTTGTGGTGTCAGTTTTACTATTGGATGTTTCAATGCTCCCTTCCTCTTACGTATATTCTTACGTAGCTTACGTGGCATTTTAAGTGAAGTTAAAAAGCGGCTTTTGACAGATGTTTATATGACACTTTTTGTTCAGCACAAAAAACTACTCGGTCAAAGTGTTGTCAGTTTTGTAAAATAACCGTCCTATCTCATTCTATAAGGGGAAAAAGGCTTCTCAAAGTATACTTCCTTGGAACGCCTGTAACTTTTCCTGTAGCGATGATAGACCCTTACTTGTCCGGACAAAGTTATACTATTTTGAGTGCTCTACAAAAAAGTCACCGGCTGGCTCGTCCTCAGAAATTTTTTATGGGCTAGAGGGCGCAACGCGCCTGGAAGCCCTCCGAATAAAAACTTCATTTATACTAAACATCTTCAGGGCTAGAGGGCGCAACGCGCCTGGAAGCCCTCCGAATATAAACTTCATTTATACTAAACATCTTCGGGGCTAGAGGGCGCAACGCGCCTGGAAGCCCTCCGAATATAAACTTCATTTATACTAAACATCTTCGGGGCTAGAGGGCGCAACGCGCCTGGAAGCCCTCCGAATATAAACTTCATTTATACTAAACATCTTCGGGGCTAGAGGGCGCAACGCGCCTGGAAGCCCTCCGAATATAAACTTCATTTATACTAAACATCTTCGGGGCTAGAGGGCGCAACGCGCCTGGAAGCCCTCCGAATATAAACTTCATTTATACTAAACATCTTCGGGGCTAGAGGGCGCAACGCGCCTGGAAGCCCTCCGAATATAAACTTCATTTATACTAAACATCTTCGGGGCTAGAGGGCGCAACGCGCCTGGAAGCCCTCCGAATATAAACTTCATTTATACTAAACATCTTCGGGGCTAGAGGGCGCAACGCGCCTGGAAGCCCTCCGAATATAAACTTCATTTATACTAATGTCATAAGACGAAATGGCGGAAGTGAGGTGAAGTCAAAAAGTGGCATATATTTGGCCGGCTAAATTCCCCTTTAGTTTACATGTCAAAATTACAATAAATTAATTATTTTGCTTAGCAATTAGCTATGTATTAAAACTAAAATTATTACTATTCAATTCTTTACATTCAAATATTAAACAATTCAAATTTAATAACAAAGATATTACAATAAATAAAAAAAATGATTAAAAATGTCCCTGAAAATTTTCGGAAAGCTATCTCGTGTTTAGGTCTCAATTTTTTTTAGAAATAGAAAAAGATTGGATTTAACTTTCAAACATTATATATAGTTTTGTATATGGAAGTCTTTAAATACAAGTTAATGATATGGAGTTGTATTGCGAGGAAGAGGGAATCAAAGAAATTGACGAAGTTCCAGAATTTTATTCAACAATTCTTAATCAATTAACAAAAACTATACCGAAACTTATCTTACCATCCAAATCAAATCACATTACATACGGAATAAACATTTAATCTTTTACCATTAAAATTATATTTATACGTTATTTAATTTTTTTACGTCTAAGTTGAATAGGATAATAGCCGAAGATATAAAGTAACTATAGTTTACAAGCTAAGGAACAAATCAGCATTGAAACTAAAAAATGCTGAAATATTATAATAAATTGAAGAAATACTGTGATAGAATACCTTGTTATACTAGATACTATTATAATATGAATTCATTTGTATTGAATATCGATAATAAAAAATCGATGAAATATTAAAATGAGAATAAATTAATAATGAGATTATAAATTAGAATTATTTCTCTTTTATTTAAAATAAAAACTTAGTTCTATTTAAATTCGATAAAGAAGTACGAAAAAGTTGTATTATACGTATGATGTTGCCCGATGTTTGGTAACACTATTGTAGAATATAAGCATATATGATAGAAAAGCAATATGCTTAATATCGAGTAATTCTAATTTTTTACGAAATTATTCAAATACGTTATTTTTTAAAATGAAAAGATAAGCATACCATTATGCAGTAGTTTGCGCACATATACTATGCTGATGAAAGTTGGTCTCTAATTCGAAACTTGAGTCTGTCAAATTGACGTTCAAGTATTAAAAAGTTGTATTATACGTATGATGTTGCCCGATGTTTGGTAACACTATTGTAGAATATAAGCATATATGATAGAAAAGCAATATGCTTAATATCGAGTAATTCTAATTTTTTACGAAATTATTCAAATACGTTATTTTTTAAAATGAAAAGATAAGCATACCATTATGCAGTAGTTTGCGCACATATACTATGCTGATGAAAGTTGGTCTCTAATTCGAAACTTGAGTCTGTCAAATTGACGTTCAAGTATTAAAAAGTTGTATTATACGTATGATGTTGCCCGATGTTTGGTAACACTATTGTAGAATATAAGCATATATGATAGAAAAGCAATATGCTTAATATCGAGTAATTCTAATTTTTTACGAAATTATTCAAATACGTTATTTTTTAAAATGAAAAGATAAGCATACCATTATGCAGTAGTTTGCGCACATATACTATGCTGATGAAAGTTGGTCTCTAATTCGAAACTTGAGTCTGTCAAATTGACGTTCAAGTATTAAAAAGTTGTATTATACGTATGATGTTGCCCGATGTTTGGTAACACTATTGTAGAATATAAGCATATATGATAGAAAAGCAATATGCTTAATATCGAGTAATTCTAATTTTTACGAAATTATTCAAATACGTTATTTTTTAGTTTCAATGCTGATTTGTTCCTTAGCTTGTAAACTATAGTTACTTTATATCTTCGGCTATTATCCTATTCAACTTAGACGTAAAAAAATTAAATAACGTATAAATATAATTTTAATGGTAAAAGATTAAATGTTTATTCCGTATGTAATGTGATTTGATTTGGATGGTAAGATAAGTTTCGGTATAGTTTTTGTTAATGTGATTAAGAATTGTTGAATAAAATTCTGGAACTTCGTCAATTTCTTTGATTCCTTCTTGAAGCGTTGAAATTTCTTATTGACTCTCTTTTTATAACTTTTGAAAGAAACCGTAAAAATTGTGAAACATGCTTTTTAATAAAAAACAATTTTGATGAAAACCATAAATTAATTTAAAATTGAAATAAATTTTTGAAATCTATGATATTGAATAAAAAAATTTATAGTGTAGATATTGATATAGATATAGATGTTAATTTTAATATGATATTTGATAAAATTTTTTTATCAAAACATACTGATAATAGGTTGACATGTAATATGATATTTTGCCTTGTAAATATATTTGGTCGGCAAAATAACCTAAATACTCTTATTTTGAGTTCACTTCCACCATTTCGTCTTATGATACTAAACATCTTCGGGGCTAGAGGGCGCAACGCGCCTGGAAGCCCCACTACCTTTTTTTTTGTTTTTTTTTACTTCGTACCCGCCATTCGGCCGAATAACAAAACAATACAAAATTATCGCCGTCCTTTTTTTTTCTTTCTTTCTCTTTTTTTCTCTCTCTCTTTCTTTTCTCTTTCCTCTTTTTACTCCTCTTTCTCTTTTCATCATTAAACGTAGAAAGATATATTAATATTATTTTAAAATTAAAAAAAATAAAGAAAGTATAATAAGTAATTATTTAGTTATCGATATATATATGTAAAGTGATAATCTGAGGATAATCTGAGGAGGAGTCTGAGGATTAGACCGAGGAGTAGTCTGAGGAGTTTGAGGATAATCTGAGGAGTTTGAGGATAATCTGAGGAGGAGTCTGAGGATAATCTGAGGAGGAGTCTGAGGATAATCTGAGGAGGAGTTTGAGGATAATCTGAGGAGGAGTCTGAGGATTAGACCGAGGAGTAGTTTGAGGAGTAGTCTGAGGATTTTGAGGATAATCTGAGGAGGAGTCTGAGGATTAGACTGAGGAGTTTGAGGAGTAGTCTGAGGATAATCTGAGGAGTTTGAGGATAATCTGAGCATAATCTGAGGAGGAGTCTGAGGATTAGACTGAGGAGTAGTTTGAGGATAATCTGAGGAGGAGTCTGAGGATTAGACCGAGGAGTAGTTTGAGGAGTAGTCTGAGGATTTTGAGGATAATCTGAGGAGGAGTCTGAGGATTAGACTGAGGAGTTTGAGGAGTAGTCTGAGGATAATCTGAGGAGTTTGAGGATAATCTGAGCATAATCTGAGGAGGAGTCTGAGGATTAGACTGAGGAGTAGTTTGAGGATAATCTGAGGAGGAGTCTGAGGATTAGACTGAGGAGTAGTTTGAGGATAATCTGAGGAGGAGTCTGAGGATTAGACTGAGGAGTAGTTTGAGGATAATCTGAGGAGGAGGCTGCGGATAATCTGAGGAGTAGTTTCAGGAGTAGTCTCAGGACTAGTCTCAGGACTAGTCTGATGAGGAGGACTCTAAGGAGTAGTCTGAAGAGTAGTCTCAGGAGGAAGATCTGAGGAGGAGTCTTATGAGGAAGATCTGAGGAGTAGTCTGATGAGGAGGGGTCTAAGGAGTAGTCTGAAGATGATGAGTAATCTGATAAGGAGTAGTCTGAGGATGATCCGAGGATAACCTGATGACTAGTCTAGGAGTGGTCTAATAAAAATGTAAAATATTTTCAAAGAAAAAATTCTATGAATTTTATATTTTAATTCTTAGCATTATACTGAATAAAATAAACATAAATATCAAAATTTGAAATTGAACACGCCAAAAAATTGATAATCCACATTCAATATTTTGTAAGTGGTGTACTTTTTGAATACTCGCCATACGCCTTGGAGTTCTCAATTTTGAATTCGCCTTTATTTGGTCGACCTCAGAAAAATACGCCATTAAGAAAATATTGTATGAGATTTTAAATTTGAACACGCTCTACCTTAAGGAATTAAATTTATTAAGATATATTTATATATAATAAACGATTACTTAAAAAAAGTATTTCATCTCTTATGTAGGTTTCAAAAAAATCACGAAAATAAAAAAATCAAGATTAAAATTTTATTTTTAATTTTTGAATTTCGCAAATGGCGAAATTTTTGGGCGAACAAAAAAAATGTACGCCCGGTCAAATGGCGTGTTTAACGCATCCCTAGATCTCATTACTGCCATATGAAGAGGTGTATATCCATCTTCATCCCTTGCATTGACGTTTGCACCATTTGAAAGTAGAAGCTCAATCAAATCTTTGGTGTTTCGATTAATTTCCAAATTTGCTTCAAATGTACCATCTCTTTGTTCAATATTAGAAGCTATTGCAATATGAAGTACAGAATGTCCTTCATAATCTTGCATGGTGACGTTTGCACCACGTGAAATCAGAAGTTCAGCGATTTCTTTATGATTAAGCGAACATGCAAATATAAGAGGTGTCTGTTGTACAATGTTCCTATTATCATTTATATTTGCGCCGTGTGAAATTAGAATATTAACAGCTTCGATATTATTTTCTACGCAAGCTACATGAAGTATTGAGTGGCCTTGTTCTCTATTTCTGGTGTTAACATTGGCACCATGTGAAAGAAGAAACTCCAACATTAATATATTGTTTTTCTGAATTAAACTTTCAAATGCCTCTGAATCTAGTGCATTAATATTAACTCTATTTAAAATCAAATTTGACACAATATCTGTTTGATTTTCAACTACTGCTGAAAAAAGACCATTTATGCCATCTTCATCTGTATAATTAATATCCGCACCATTCTGAATCATATATTCACAAAGAGATGGTATATGAAAATATGGAGATATTACAAACGCATTGCTGATAATTTCATATAAATCCAAAAGATAAATAAATGCATGAAGATTTTTGTATATTCCACAATCAATCATTTGGATTTTTGTCCCGTATTCGTTCAACAAGATATATAAATTAGCGAAGTTATGAGATACAATTGCAGCTTCCGTTGTATATATATCAGGTTCATTTTCTTTCAAACACTCATTAATAATATGTTGATTGTTACCTTTAAATGAAGCATCAAGACATCTTTTGGTGATTTTTACGTCAAATTCTTTTTGCAATAACTTGAAACAATTAACTGCTCCTCTTAAACAACATTTTTCAAGGATTTTAGTGAGGTCAAGTCTCTTACTTTTCAAGTGATACAATAATTCATCTTCGTTATCATTCATTATTGCATATTCAGGTGTATTTATTTTAATATCATCATATTGTGAAAGAAATGAGATATTATAAATGTCGGTGCATTGATATCCTTCAATTATTCTCTTCATTAACTCTATGTACCCACGACGATAATGTAAACTCTCATTGCAAATTTTTCCTATCATATCAATCATCTCTTTTGCTGTAAAATATCCAGTATCAATCAAGTTGTTCTTGATTTCTTCGTATAATACTGTTGTTGAATCTATTTCTTCTGTATCCAATTTATATATTGCATCCCATGTATCAATAAATCCCTTATACTTATTCATAAGAGTAATATAATGCTTAGTTGCTTGGCTCAGTTTCATAAGTTGAAAAAATATGATAAGAAGCATTATTTTGATTATTGAACAGTACTTGCCAAAAATATTAAAAATCCAAAATCACTAATTAACGATTATTTTAGATTCAAATGTTGTTCGGCATCGAAAATAAGATTTAGCATAAATTTGAGAGTAGGAGACTAAATCTCCCATAAAAACTCATGAAATTATTAATTTTTGTTAGACAATCTTCAATCAACCTTTACTCTGATAAATATAATAATTTGGTTTACACAGAATTGAGTAGTAGTATAGGAAGGGGTGTGTGACTTTTTTTGTTACATCTATATATAGACGATGCATTAAAATATATTTATTTATAAACACATTAAAAAATTAACATTAATTTTAAAATAATTTATTTTTTATCTTTTATAAAAGAAGCTATATATAGATGATGTCAGATATTCCGCGATTAATTAAACATTGTTTAAATCCTGAATGGGTTAAACTTCAATTTAAAAATGAAGATTGTGAATTATTAAATGAATATGAAAGCCAAAATAAGCTAATGAGGTATAAATATAATGATAAAGAATATTTAATTTCATGGAATCAATGGAGTCATAATCAAAGACCTCATAAACGAGAAGAAGAAATTGAAAATAATGAAATGGAAATCATTGATGACATTAAAGAGGATGGAATTCCTAAATTTTGTAGAAAAACCTTTAGAACTAAGTTAGGAGCATATAAACGTAGATTATTAAATCCTGAATACATAAAACATTTATTTAAAAAGGAAGATTGTGAATTATTAAACGCTAATGAATATGAAAATGCTAAATCAAAATTGAAATATAAATATATTGGAAGTGATGAAAGGTGTAAAGATAAAGATAAAGTTTATTCAGTTTCATATAATAACTGGCACACGTTAGGGATAAGAAAACATTTAGGAGATTATGGTAAAAGTTCTGAATTCTTCAAATCTAGTATGTACGAGAGAGTAAAAGAAATTAGAAATAATTATTTTCATGAATGAAAGATTCACTACCATAATGAAATAAAAAATAAAAAAAATAAACTTTAAAAATTCATGTCTCAGAATCAACATTGAACTTTAAGAAACTAATGAAACAGAGGAGGAAGAAATAAATGAAAGTGAAAATGTTCAACAAAAAATAAACGTTGTTAAACCAATAATTAATATCCCTATCAAGTTTCGTAAATGCTTTGTCAATACTTCATCGTAAATGTTTTGTCATGATTTCATTGTAATGAGCGTAAACTCTATGTCAAACATGAACGTAAATGCTTTGTCAAAACTAAACGTAAAGACTTTGTCATGATTTCATCGTAAATGCTTTGTCAATACTTCATCGTAAATGTTTTGTCATGATTTCTTCATCGAAACTAAACATAAACACTTTGTCAAAACTTCATCGTATATGCTTTGTCATGATGATTTCATCGTAAAGACTTTGTCATGATTTCATCGTAAATGCTTTGTCAATACTTCATCGTAAATGTTTTGTCATGATTTCTTCATCGTAAACTCTATGTCAAACATGAACGTAAATGTTTTGTCATGACTTCATCGTAATGAGTGTAAATGACCCAAAAATAATGTTTACGTTAATGGTTTTTAGGTTATTCAATAATTAATTATTTTTGAAGAACTGAAGGTGTCACTACGTCACCATGTGTCACTCGGTTAATTAACTTCTCTGAAAAAGTGAGACAACATGACATTTAGACAACAACACAGGAGGAAGGCAGTTATGAATTATTTTTGAAGAACTGAAGGTGTCACCAGGTCACCAGGTCACCAGGTTAATGAACTTCTCTGAAAAAATGAGACAACATGACATTTTGACAACAGTCCCGGAAATGATTTGTCATGACTTCATCGTAATGAGTGTAAATGACCCAAAAATAATGTTTACGTTAATGGTTTTTAGGTTATTCAATAATTAATTATTTTTGAAGAACTGAAGGTGTCACTACGTCACCATGTGTCACTCGGTTAATTAACTTCTCTGAAAAAGTGAGACAACATGACATTTAGACAACAACACAGGAGGAAGGCAGTTATGAATTATTTTTGAAGAACTGAAGGTGTCACCAGGTCACCAGGTCACCAGGTTAATGAACTTCTCTGAAAAAATGAGACAACATGACATTTAGACAACAACACAGGAGGAAGGCAGTTATGAATTATTTTTGAAGAACTGAAGGTGTCACCAGGTCACCAGGTCACCAGGTTAATGAACTTCTCTGAAAAAATGAGACAACATGACATTTAGACAACAACACAGGAAATAAATGTTTATGTTTACGTTAATGGTTTCATCGTAATGAGTGTAAATCAGACAAAAATAATGTTTAGGTGAAGAGGTGAGATTTCACCTAATTTTTCACCTCTTTTCTCACCTCATGAATTTTCATGATTTCTTCATCGTATATGCTTTGTCAAACATGAACGTAAATGATTTGTCAAACATGAACGTATATGTTTTGTCATGATGATTTCATCGTAATGAGTGTAAATGACCCAAAAATAATGTTTACGTTAATGGTTTTTAGGTTATTCAATAATTAATTATTTTTGAAGAACTGAAGGTGTCACTACGTCACCATGTGTCACTCGGTTAATTAACTTCTCTGAAAAAGTGAGACAACATGACATTTAGACAACAACACAGGAAATATATTTTATCGTAAATGTTTTGTCATGACTTCATCGTATATCCTTTGTCATGACTTCATCGAAACTAAACATAAACTCTATGTCAAACATGAGCGTAAACTCAATGTCAAACATGAACGTAAATGTTTTGTCATGGTTTCATCGTAATGAGTGTAAATCAGACAAAAATAATGTTTAGGTGAAGAGGTGAGATTTCACCTAATTTTTCACCTCTTTTCTCACCTCATGAATTTTCATGATTTCTTCATCGTATATGCTTTGTCAAACATGAACGTATATGCTTTGTCATGATTTCTTCATCGAAACATGAACGTAAACTCTATGTCAAACATGAACGTATATGCTTTGTCAAACATGAACGTATATGCTTTGTCATGATGATTTCATCGTAAATGTTTTGTCATGACTTCTTCATCGTTTATGTTTTGTCATGACTTCTTCATCGTAATGAGTGTAAATAACCCAAAAATAATGTTTACGTTAATGGTTTTTAGGTTATTCAATAATTAATTATTTTTGAAGAACTGAAGGTGTCACTATGTCACCATGTGTCACTCGGTTAATTAACTTCTCTGAAAAAATGAGACAACATGACATTTAGACAACAACACAGGAGGAAGGCATTTATGAATTATTTTTGAAGAACTGAAGGTGTCACTATGTCACCATGTGTCACTCGGTTAATGAACTTCTCTGAAAAAATGAGACAACATGACATTTTGACAACAGTCCCGGAAATGATTTGTCATGACTTCATCGTAATGAGTGTAAATGACCCAAAAATAATGTTTACGTTAATGGTTTTTAGGTTATTCAATAATTAATTATTTTTGAAGAACTGAAGGTGTCACTACGTCACCATGTGTCACTCGGTTAATTAACTTCTCTGAAAAAGTGAGACAACATGACATTTAGACAACAACACAGGAGGAAGGCAGTTATGAATTATTTTTGAAGAACTGAAGGTGTCACCAGGTCACCAGGTCACCAGGTTAATGAACTTCTCTGAAAAAATGAGACAACATGACATTTAGACAACAACACAGGAAATAAATGTTTATGTTTACGTTAATGGTTTCATCGTAATGAGTGTAAATCAGACAAAAATAATGTTTAGGTGAAGAGGTGAGATTTCACCTAATTTTTCACCTCTTTTCTCACCTCATGAATTTTCATGATTTCTTCATCGTATATGCTTTGTCAAACATGAACGTATATGCTTTGTCATGATTTCTTCATCGAAACATGAACGTAAACTCTATGTCAAACATGAACGTATATGCTTTGTCATGATGATTTCATCGTAAATGTTTTGTCATGACTTCTTCATCGTAAATGTTTTGTCATGACTTCTTCATCGTTTATGTTTTGTCATGATGATTTCATCGTAATGAGTGTAAATGACCCAAAAATAATGTTTACGTTAATGGTTTTTAGGTTATTCAATAATTAATTATTTTTGAAGAACTGAAGGTGTCACTACGTCACCATGTGTCACTCGGTTAATTAACTTCTCTGAAAAAATGAGACAACATGACATTTTGACAACAGTCCCGGAAATGATTTGTCATGACTTCATCGTAATGAGTGTAAATGACCCAAAAATAATGTTTACGTTAATGGTTTTTAGGTTATTCAATAATTAATTATTTTTGAAGAACTGAAGGTGTCACTACGTCACCATGTGTCACTCGGTTAATTAACTTCTCTGAAAAAGTGAGACAACATGACATTTAGACAACAACACAGGAGGAAGGCAGTTATGAATTATTTTTGAAGAACTGAAGGTGTCACCAGGTCACCAGGTCACCAGGTTAATGAACTTCTCTGAAAAAATGAGACAACATGACATTTAGACAACAACACAGGAAATAAATGTTTATGTTTACGTTAATGGTTTCATCGTAATGAGTGTAAATCAGACAAAAATAATGTTTAGGTGAAGAGGTGAGATTTCACCTAATTTTTCACCTCTTTTCTCACCTCATGAATTTTCATGATTTCTTCATCGTATATGCTTTGTCAAACATGAACGTAAATGATTTGTCAAACATGAACGTATATGTTTTGTCATGATGATTTCATCGTAATGAGTGTAAATGACCCAAAAATAATGTTTACGTTAATGGTTTTTAGGTTATTCAATAATTAATTATTTTTGAAGAACTGAAGGTGTCACTACGTCACCATGTGTCACTCGGTTAATTAACTTCTCTGAAAAAGTGAGACAACATGACATTTAGACAACAACACAGGAAATATATTTTATCGTAAATGTTTTGTCATGACTTCATTGTATATCCTTTGTCAAAACTTCATCGAAACTAAACAT